ATTTCGTTGCTTATATAGGTCGCTGCTCGTTGCTTGTATAGATCGCTCCGCCCACCCGCGCTGTAGCTTATCGCATTCGTACCTTATATGATCTTAAGTGGTGAAGTATTTATTAGGCTTAAGCAGAAGCATTATTAACACTATTCCAGTGAGTTAGCATCAAATAATAACTGAACTATTGTGGACATATTAAAGACTGAAACATATAGTATACACGTGTATATGAAAATTAATAATTTAGCTGAGAATGAGATGTTTTCGGTCCATTAAGCTGTATATGCGATAACTCAGCACCACAACTGGACCTCGTCATTGGCAACGATTGTGGTTTAAATTATTTTTGATTTGCTTTTTTACAAAGCTCAGGACCGGGAATGCAAGTAGAGAAGGTAATTGACCTCAATTTTCGCTTGGAGAGGTACTCGTCCTTGCTCGGTGGCTACCTCTTAATTTCGTGATGCTTCACTTCGAAACGACTAAAATTTTGCAAAGTGTTTCTGTCTGAAGAACCATTGAACTGAAATAAAACTAGAATATTTAAAAAATATATATTAATATATATTTATTTAAATACTGGAACAACTACATTTCATCGACGTTCGTTGTCACGCCACCGATGCATTGCTGGCAACTTCTTCATTCAATTCGTTGTTCCACTCTTCGAGTCCACGTGGTACCGTACAGGCATACCATGGGTTCTCTCCCCCTCACTGCTGGCCTTCCACCATTAATATATTTGAAGGGCGAATGTATCAACAGAGAGCTATTTTGAGTGAAATGTGGAAGAAAATCACTAGCGTAGCATTATACCGTGATAATTCGAGTGGTATTGGTATTCCTGGTGTGTGCTTACGGCTGCTGTATAGCAGTTTTGATCTTTGAATATTTTTGAATTAACGAATATCCTTATTATTTCCCCTTGATTTTTCTGTATTCGATACTGGTGTTTTTTTTTTGTCTCAGGAAACCAGGAAGTGCTGTGCGAAGCAGAAGACGAATCGGGCATGTTAAGTAGGCCTGTGCGT